TACATACTAATATATAAGTACATACATACATATTACACATACATACATACTAATATATAAGTACATACATACATACATGTTACATACACACATACATACTAATATATAAGTACATACATACATATTACATACATACATATATACTAATATATAAGTACATACATATTACATACATACATACACACATACATACTTATATATAAGTACATACATACATATTACATACATACACACATGCATACTAATATATAAGTACATACATACATACATATTACATACATACATACTAATATATAAGTACATACATACATACATATTACATACACACATACTAATATATAAGTACATACATATTACATACATACATACACACATACATACTTATATATAAGTACATACATATTACATACATACACACATGCATACTAATATATAAGTACATACATACATATTACATATACATACATACTAATATATAAGTACATACATACATACATACATATTACATACACACATACTAATATATAAGTACATACATATTACATACATACACACATACATACTTATATATAAGTACATACATACATATTACATACATACACACATGCATACTAATATATAAGTACATACAGACATACTAATATATAAGTACATATATACATATTACATACATACACACATGCATACTAATATATAAGTACATACATACATACATATTACATACATACACACATGCATACTAATATATAAGTACATACATACATATTACATACACACATACATACTTATTACATACACACATACATACTAATATATAAGTACATACAGACATACTAATATATAAGTACATACACACATGCATACTAATATATAAGTACATACATACATATTATTAACACGTTATTAACATTTCCCTAATTTTGGTTGGAAGGTCTCCTTATTAAGGGGTCTACCCTTATGGGTTTGGGGGAGTCTCCTACTAAATTACATTACATTAGATTTTGTTAATATCTATAAACGTCCATTTTCCCTCATCTTTCCCCATCTTTCCCCATCTTTCCCTCATCTTTCCCCATCTTTCCCCATCTTTCCCCATCTTTCCCGATCCTTCCCCATCTTTCCCCATCTTTCCCCATCTTTCCCCATCTTTATTGTGTATGGAGCCATTTTCTTGACTCTGCCTTGGAGTGTTAGAAGATTAGAAAAAAACAACAATATAAACCAAAAACCCCATAGGGCCAGATATCTTGGAGAATCTCTGGTTATTTTTCCTGTCACCGTGTTGGGTTAAAATGTGTCACTGTCAAGTCCCTATAGTATCAAACAGAGTTTGTCTGTTCCTTAAAAATGCATGAGGGAACCTGAATCCAATAAGACGTGTGACTGTTATAGACGATCTTTGGTCATTTCTGAAATGGAAACATATAATACCTGGGTCATTCTCTGTATCTGCTGCAGGAAAAATGATTAAACCAATATATTTACACCTTCCCCTACTGGACATGAACCTTGTATGGGACTTCAATAAAAGGGCCACTTGGGAGCTACCTGCTCATATTATAGGACTGGGAGAGTGACACAAGTGGGAAAAGGGGTTTATTCGCTAAACTTCTAGCTTTACTGAATGAAGACAGGAGTCGCAAGATTTGGGCCAAAATAGACAAAAATGTAAAGATAGGATTTGGAAATATCAATGCAGCAATGTCGGCCTAGATCATACAGCTTGGAACTCAATGCACCCCAATTCACTGATTGGGGGGGGGGTTACCGTAATTACTGCCAATACTGAGGGGAGGAATTGTTTTACTAATTAGGACACTTTGTAGCAAATTTTGCAAGTCGACCGCAAAATAACTGCTTAGATACTAGACCTCGAATGAACTAATTCCAGTTCATTTCTGGAGGGACAGTTTTTTTTTTTATCTTGGGGGGACATCAATGAATATATTAAGACTGTGGAAATCTAACTCTGTAGACACAAAACACAACTGCAGATATTTCCCAAATTGATACAAATTTCAACTTGTTTTAAAATTGCCCAATATTCTGAAAAAATTCTAGACAGTTTGCACTTGGCTTCATTACAGTGAAATAAATCATTTCTGAGCGCTAACACATATCTATCCCTGCACTTAATAACCAGGATCATTAACATAATCTGTCACATACACATAACCGATATTGTCTTTAATAACTAAAAACTAATTCTGTCCTCTACCCCTCCTCTTCCTTCATGCTGGATCAGTTACTGTTATATAGCAGTAGTGAGAATCTTATTCCACACTGTATTTTTGCTACTTATTCCAATCACTGGACCAGCACCCCCATCATTATAGGTGACTTAATTGCTTATAATTATATTTGGTCAATGCCAAAGCTTTAACACTGTTGGACACCATTGAATGGAGATTGGGTGATCATCTAATAAAATACATTGTGGGCCATATTTAAATTCAAACTGGAACGATCCTGGGGAACCCTGAAGTATTAAAAGTGGAATATTCATTTTATAAATTTAAATTTAGATTTCTCCAAATTTAGCAATTCGACATCTTCAGGTATTGGGAGGTGTAACGTGCAGGTTTTTGTTTAACATTGGTCACAGGAGATTATGGGGCAAAGTTCTAAAAGTACAGCAGTCTCCATGGAAACAATGGAACGTTCCTGCTGATTGTTACACTTTTAGAACGTTGCCCCGGAATTATTAATTGTAAATAATCCTCAGCCTGTCATCATGCAATGGTGCTAACAATTTTGAAAACAATTAACTTGGACCTTTCAGGGCATGGATTGAAGTAATGAGGGTTGTAGTCCGCCTGGAAGGAGGCGAGCCACAGCTTCTCCATTTCTGACAATGTGTTTTGTTTTTTTGTTTTTTTTAACATTTTCTATTCTTAATTGATTCAGTGTTATTACCTAAAACCATGCTGTCTAAGGCCATTCCCTAGCAAAGAAATTCTATTTGGAATAAGTGTTATCTTTCTTAAAAATCCAGCAGTTCTGGTGCATGGTACAAAGCAACTAAATGCACTGTCCCACCATGCAGAAATTCTAATATTTCCAAAGATCAGGCAGTTTGAAGGGAGAATAAGAAAGTGCATGTGTATTAATGCAATGTAACCCTCTCTTATTCTCTACCCGATTACAATACCCAGTGGCTGTAATGAGTGTATCTCTGAATGCACAATGAGTGCTGGGGCCTGATTGCTGCTGTGTTATTTGTGAACCTTGCATGGAGTTTGCTGTTTGGCTGTGACTGAGTCATGTGCCTCTCTATAAAACACACTCCTTCTTCCATTCACTGACCTCTTCATGACTTTCACAACCCGAGACCATTCAAGCAAACATCCAAATACCACATTATGTTATTTTTTTTTTCATTCCCTCTTGTTTTATTCATAATCCCTAAATTATGTGGCCGATTTGATTGAGGGATTTAACGCTATCGCTGCCAGTTGGACCGTACTAATGGAAAAAAGACAAATGTTTTTTTTTCCACTGGCCCAAAAATTTAGAATTTGAGTAGCGAACCATATAGGTTATCACCTATCTAGATTCCTATCAGTAAGCGCTTAGTTATATTATTATATTTTTTCCAACATAAACTCACACAAATACATACAAACACATATATAGACATTATCACACAAACACACATACACAAACACACACTAACACACTCACACAGGCACACACACAGACACTGAAACCGGCACACACAGACACACTCATACAAACACATACACGCACACACACACAAACATACTCATACACACAATGACACAAACTCACTCATACACCCTCACAGACACATTCATCCACACACTCATACAAACACACTCATACACGCACACACAAACACACACACGCACGCGTGTTGCTAATTACCATGCATATTAGTGTCATTTCTTGATAGATATGTCTCTGAGTGCAGCATGAAAGGTCCAGCAGAAAGAAGATAATTTCTAATAAGGAAGGACGAGTTATAAAGCCAGGTTTCAGGGGGGCGTCCGAGGTAATCTCCTTTGTGCGATGATCTCATTTAATGTGTTTTATTCATTCTCAACCGGATTATTCTGGGATTTTACTAAGGCAATCAAAATTACCCACTGATAGTGCACTGGCTGTGCATTCTGATGGGAGAACGATACTAAGCACTGCGAGCTAGAGTTGATGTGTCCTTTTGTATACACGCACGAATACACACACATACAGAACAGACATGTAAAAACACACAAACACACAGACATGTAAATGAACACACAAAAATGCACACACGTAAAAACACATACATACTTATATATACGTATCCACACATGCACATATATGGATAACTCCACAAAAATGCCTACATTCACACACATGAGCACAATAAATGCATACACACAGAAATACATGGACACATACACACAGTATACACTAATGAAGCATGCATACTCACACAAAAATCCACTAACACACATATAAATAAACACACAAACAGAACTATACATATGCTTCCATACACAAACACACACACACACACATACAAACACACACACACACACATACAAACACACACATACGTATACACACACACATACACTAGCTTTTTGAATCTTGAACCCTGCAGCTTTTAAAAAGGAAGGTGTGGGGGGAAGGGGGGGAGATCAGTGATGGTGGAGGAGGGACATGGGGGGGGAGCCCTACTTGTCAATTTACTACAGAGCCTCATGGTCATGTGACAGAGAGGAGGCCTTTGATTGGCTGGAGGCACGTGTCTAGGATACCGGGCTCCAACGTCACTTGTGAGGCTCTATTAAAAATAAGAACAGAAAATCCAGAGTGAAAGTATTTCAGGTCCAGTGAGTGCTTGAAAAATACCTACACTATACAGCCTTCCTCCTACAGCACTGAGGACAGGACTTATTGGCAGCAAAGGGACTCCCCAGCCTTGTGAGCAGACACACAGCAGTGACTTCCATTTATTTTGATTTGATCTTTTTTGTTTTTGTTTTTTTGTTTTGCCTTTTTTTGAGGTTGCGCTGAGTGTTCTATGTTTGTATACTTTGTATCTCCCACACTCTCCTGGCAGCTGTGATGCATCCATGCTCTGCTAAACCCCTGTCCTCTTCCTCTGGCTCTTCCTGAAGAATTGGATCTGCCTTACACTGCATGCTGGATGCTGGGGGCAGCATGTCCTGGAGAACAGGATGCACTGGCTCCCACAGTTAAAGCTCTGAGGTCTGCAGAGGGCAGAGAAGAAGGAGGGTGAGCCCCATCACTGAGATCCCAAACACAGAGCTTCCTCCTGGTTGGGGGGTTTGAATGTGCAGCTAACGGGAGCAGGAGGAAGCACAAAGGGTTAAAGGCAGTAGGGGGAATCAGCAAGATTGGGATTTACAGCATGGAGGAGAATGACCAGAATCCAAGGGAATTGGATCAACAGCAGGAGTCGGCTGAGGAACCCAATAGGGGGGTCCAGCCCCTGCTCCAGGCTCCTGGGAACCACCAGCCCCATCACAGGGTGACAAACTTCTTCATTGACAACATCTTGCGGCCAGAATTCGGCAGGAGGAAAGAGGGGACCAGCCAGCAAGATGAGGTCTTCCCAGCCAGGGACAGTGGGGGGACCCGCTCTGGGGCAGAGCCTGGACAGCACAGGGCTGTGGCCCTTGAGGGAGAAGGGGTCCCCAAGACCATCACTGCCACTGGAGACAATAAATGCGAAGGGGGCATGGAGGGGTCTCTGAAATCCAGAGGACTTAATGGAGACCACTCCATGAGCTCTGACTCTGATAGCTCCCAAGCCAGCTCCACCAACCACCAACAACCCATGTTGTGGCCAGCTTGGGTCTACTGCACCAGGTATTCAGACAGACCTTCATCAGGTAAGCCCTCAGCAACACGGAGCCAGTCCTCCTCAGTTTAGGGGTAGTGAGGACCACATGTCCCACCATCCTGTAGATAAACTGGTCAATGGGTTTATAAAGGTGGATAGTGGGACTTTCTATACTTCATAGAATTCTTCAAACCACATACACATGTATTTAAATATATATGTAATAATTTTATATGTGTGTTTGTGTGTATTATTTTGTATTTTATTTTATTATTAATATTAGATATATATATATTATATATTAGATATCTATTTATATATTAAGTAGTCCTGTTAAAATGTTAAAAACGGAGCTATACACAATTATCAGGGAAGGATCCGTTTCCAAATTGGAGATCATACTGTGTGTGATGCAGACTGCCACATTCTGTCTGAGTGGAAAAATAATACGCAAAGACAACAATTTCGGTTTATTTTCAGCCACACGCTTCAATTTAGTAACACAGGCAGCGGCAACAATGTATCCTATTTGCAATTACACGTATCAGAGATTTTGCATTTTAAATTAATCAAATTTGGGGCTCAAAAGCTTCGCCCAAAGCAATCTCTATATACACAGCACAACCAACTAATTTTATTATAAAGAACACTTTATTTACACGATTTTCTGCTAAAAATGCATGAAATAATAATAAAAGTATGCCTCTTAATATTCAAATATATATACACACACACACAAAATACACACACACAGTTTTCTTTCACAAACTCAAACATTCAAAAGCGAGTTGTTGTTTTCTTTTTGTTTTGTTTTTTAAATTTAAAATGAGCCATTGTTACTCAAGTCTGTTAATAATTAATTAAAAATGCCGATGGTAGAGGCCAGTTTGAATTTTATTTTTTTTTAAATATACTTTAAGCTATCAATTCCATTTTTGAAATGGTAATATCTTACCAACGAAAGTCATTAAGTAATTTTGCATTTGACTAGAGATTTATTATATTCCTATTAATTTTTAAAAAAAAACATCAGTATTTAAAATAAATTTCATCAAACGAGGGCAGTTATTCAATTAATTAATTTTCCTTTAATTGCATTTTTCATTGACTGAGATAATGAAACCGACGTACATTTTAATCTGTAATTTTAATTCAAGGCCATAATAATATTTTAAGAAAATTTACCACGAACAGATACAATTAACGGTGGTGGTAAATCGTTTAGAAATACCATCTTAAACGCGCGTGTAGTCCTAAAATTATTACAATTATTTATTATTTTTTTGTCCAAATTTATTTGAAAATCGTTTTAACCGGCTACACATAACCTATATTTAAAGTGAATTATAAATGTTAATTCTAAGGGTTTGTAGTATAGTTATCCCCCCATATCCCTTTAAAATGGAATGATCTAATATTAGAATTATTTATTGCTTTTGGGATTTTTCTGTATATATTATGTGTATTTGTGACTTCAAAGACACTTGTGAATTTTTGCATGATTCTTGCAATATATTCTTTGCAAAGTCACCCACATAGGCTCTCCTAACAAAAAACAAACAAAAAAAAAACCCATAATTCTATAACATTAGATCCCTTAAAATAGAATTTTATTGTGTGCATTTTTTTTCAGGATTTTTGTTTTCAGAACCTTTTCTGGATTTTTAAATTTTATTTTATTATCATTACTAATATTATTTTTATTGGTTTTATTCTGAGCAGAATGATGCAATGATCAATTCACAGTCCCACAATATATTTGGAGTGGAGACCACTCTATCAGCCCTCCATCATTCCCCCTGTGGAATTTTGAGGGGTGCTGTTGCTATATATTATAGGGGTGTGGGTATCTCAGTGAGGAGGAGAATGGGAGCCCACGTGCCTACGTTTAGATATGAGTTGATGGTTGCTTGTAGTAAAAACACGTGTGTGGAAGTGCTTAAAAATATTTCACAGAGGGAGCGTGGAGTGAGGGGGGCTCAGAGGCTGGAGATACAGGCCGAGTATGATAATGTGAGATTAGACATGTCTCTATACAAAGGGCTTAACATATGCAGAAGATGAAAATCTATGGAGACTGATGTGCAGAGGGAAAATGGAGAGAAGGAGAGATAGGAGGAGAGAGATACTGAGAAAGAGAGAGAATGGAGAATGTTCAGTGGAAGTGATACAAATTAACAAATAGAAGAATGTGGAGAATAAAAAAAAAGGGGAGTTGGAGACAAAAGGGATAAAAGTACAGATTGAGATACATTTCTGGAGAGACAGGGAATGTTCTTGGGGAGAGAGATAAAAGGACAGAAAGAGATAAATATTTGGATAAAGAGATATGATGAGATACTGTAGGGAAGAGGTGAGAGAGAGACCTGGAAGAGGAAAGAAAAAATGACAGATGGAGAGAAAGAGAGAGAGCGAGTTAGAGAGAGAGAGAGAGGACAGAGGGGGTGATGGGGAGAAGAGATTAAAGGACAGTGGGAAGCTAGGAGAGGAAGGATGGGGGTATTAGAGATGGAGGATTAGAAGAACATGTGGAAGGGGGGAGAATACAATTAGTGGGATAAAGAGAGAGCTAGCTCTGATGAAGGAAAGACTAAGAAACATACAAAGGGTGCTAAAGGTAAAATAAGGACAGAACCAGGAAGGTACTATCAGGACATACAGGAATAGAGAAACAGGACAGGAGGAAATAAGGAAAAACGTGGAGGGAGAATGGGAAAAGAGAATTGTGAGAATCCAGACAGAGGGCTAAATGGGAGATAGAGAATAGTGACTGCTAGATGGGTTAAAGAGACAGCAGGAAAACAAGGAGGTGTAGGGACAGCCAAAACGAGGATGAGAATATAGAGTTGAGATAACTAGGGCAAAGACAGGATATAAAGGGACAATAAGCGCAGAGAGGAGGAAACAAGGACACATGGATAGAGAATAAAGACTGGCATCTATCAGACAGGCAGCAGGGGATACAGAAACACAAACTGGACAGAGAAAGGGGAGACAGAGACACAAACCGTACAGGGAGAGGGGAGACAGAAACACAAACTGGACAGAGAAAGGGGAGACAGAGACACAAACCGTACAGGGAGAGGGGAGACAGACACACAAACCCGACAGGGAGAGGGGAGACAGAGACACAAACCGGACAGGGAGAGGGGAGACAGACACACAAACCGGACAGTGAAAGGGGAGACAGAGACACAAACCGGACAGAGAGGGGAGACAGAGACACAAACCGGACAGGGAGAGGGGAGACAGAGACACAAACCGGACAGAGAAAGGGGAGACAGAGACACAAACCAGACAGGGAGAGGGGAGACAGAGACACAAACCGGACAGAAAAAGGGGGCAGGGCACAAAACACCAGAGACACGAGGAGGCAGGCCACACAAACCGGACTGAGTAAGGAGACAGAGCACGGCCCGCACAGGGAGAGGTGAGACAGAGACACAAACTGGACAGAGAAAGAGACAGAGACACAAACCAGACAGAGAGGGGAGACAGTGACACAAGCCGGACAGAGAAAGGGGAGACAGAGACACAAACCAGACATGGAGAGGGGAGACAGTGACACAAACTGGACAGAGAAAGGGAAGACAGAGACACAAACTGGACAGAGAAAGGGGAGACAGAGACACAAACCAGACAGGGAGGGGGGAGACAGTGACACAAACCGGACAGAAAAAGGGGAGACAGAGACACAAACCAGACAGGGAGAGGGGAGACAGTGACACAAACCGGACAGAGAGAGGAGAGACAGAGACACAAACCAGACAGGAAGAGGGGAGACAGTGACACAAACCAGACAGAGAGAGGACAGAGAGAGGAGAGACAGAGACACAAACCAGACAGGAAGAGGGGAGACAGTGACACAAACCGGACAGAGAGAGGAGAGACAGAGACACAAACCGGACAGGGAGAGGGGAGACAGAGACACAAACCTGACAGGAATAGACAGAGAGGAACTAAAAAGTCAGAGGGGAGCCAGAGACAAACTGGACAGAGAAAGAATAGACAGACACAAACTGGACAGAGACATAAACTGGACAGAGACAGGGGAGACAGAAACACAAACTGGACAGAGACGCAAACTGGACAGAGACAGGGGAGACAGAAACACAAACTGGACAGGAAAGGGGAGACAGAGACACAAACTAGACAGAGAAAGGATAGAGAGACACAAACTGGACAGAGACAGGCTGTAAAAGAAGAATCTGGGGATAAAATGACAGATTGAGGAGAGGGGGCAGTTGGGAGATTATGGCCGGGGACAGATTCGGGAAAATAAGAACAATATACAGATTTAGGTTCTAGGAGGATAGGTCGGTTTATTGGGAAAATCATATAGCAGGGTAACGTTTGGGAGAATATTAATGATACAGGAATAATTTGTGGAATAAAATGATAAATTAAAGTGGCAATAAATGTGATAATAACGATATGAAATAGACTGGGAGAGAATAAAGGGATACATAATAATTATATGATTGGGGTAAATACAGGAAATTTATTTAGGAAACACTGGGACATAGTGACAGAATGAGGGCAGGGGGCAGAGTGGAAGAATAAGGACAGGGGGCAGAGAGGGGGAATAAAGGCAGGGGGAAGAGTGAAAAAATAAGGGCAGAGGCAGAGTGGGTGAATAAGGAGGGCAGAGTGGGAGAATAAGGAGGGCAGAGTGGGAGAATAAGGGCAGGGGGCAGAGTGGGTGAATAAGGAGGGCAGAGTGGGAGGAGGGCAGAGTGGGGAACAAGGAGGGCAGAGGGGAGAATAAGGACAGGGGCAGAGTGGGAGAATAAGGGCAGGGGGCAGAGTGGGTGTTAAAGGAGGGCAGAGTGGGTGAATAAGGGCAGGGGGCAGAGTGGTGAATAAGGAGGGCAGAGTGGGAGAATGAGGGCAGGGGGCAGAGTGGGTGAATAAGGAGGGCAGAGTGGGAGAATAAGGACAGGGGGCAGAGTGGGAGAATAAGGGCAGGGGGCAGAGTGGGTGAATAAGGAGGGCAGAGTGGGAGAATAAGGGTAGGGGGCAGAGTGGGAGAAAAAGGGCAGGGGCAGAGTGGGTGAATAAGGAGGGCAGAGTGGGAGAATAAGGGCAGGGGCAGAGTGGGAAAATAAGGGCAGGGGCAGAATTAGAGGATGGGAGCAGGAGTGTAATAAGGATGGGGAGGAGGGTTGTCAGAAAATATACAGGCTAACATTGGGAGATAAGGACAGGATCATAGAAGGATAAATTAGGGGAATAAGGAGATAGTGTTAGTATAAGGGAAACACATTGTGAGAATAGGAACAGCAAGGGGATTGGGGTATTATCAGTGAGGGATAGATTCTGAGTATAAAGACATGGAAATAGATTGGGACCTGTGTCTTAAACATTGATCAGAGTCCAAGGCAATCGATAGATGGCAGCTTCCCTGGTCCTCCACACAATACCAGACCTGCTATGTTCCTCTCAAATCAAAGATTAGAGAAACTCCAGACAATAGATGGACCAGGTCCAATCTATATTCCTCACTCACACACTATACGGATGGGGTGGGTTGGGGGGGATTGGGGAGGGTGAATGCCCCACGTTTGATTGCAACCTGCTGAAAGCCCTTAGTTGCATTTTATATCATGTTTCATTATTAAATAGGCAGCACGGTGGGCAACGTGAAGCCAGTAATTAGCTGGGGTGAATGACTAATATATGTGTGCTGTTAATATTTCACGTGAAGTGGGGGTGAAGGAAGAGATGAAGGGGAGGAGGAAACATTGTATAACACGCAATACCCCACCCTGCACATCCACACACCACCAGCACCACCTCTGTGCCCTGAGCCCCATATTCCCAGCTCTGACTATGCAGTGATCCATGCTAAATATATTCATTTCATCAGAACACATTACACAGTGCTTACATTATTATTAATATTAGTATTACTACTACGTACTCATATGGAGGTAATACTATGTTACATTATGGAAGCAGGACTACAGTAATACTATGTTACACTATGGAGGTGGTATTATATTTATACTATGTTACACTGTGGAGGTAGTATTATAGTTATACTATGTTACACTATGGAGGTGGTATTATATTTATACTATGTTACACTGGGGAGTTAGTATTATATTTATACTATGTTACACTATGGAGGTGGTATTATAGTTATACTATGTTACACTGTGGAGTTAGTATTATATTTATACTATGTTACACTATGGAGGTGGTATTATATTTATACTATGTTACACTGTGGAGTTAGTATTATATTTATACTATGTTACACTGTGGAGGTAGTATTATATTTATACTATGTTACACTGTGGAGGTAGTATTATATTTATACTATGTTACACAATGGAGGTGGTATTATATTTATACTATGTTACACTATGGAGGTAGTATTATAGTTATACTATGTTACACTGTGGAGGTAGTAGTATATTTATACTATGTTACACTGTGGAGGTAGTATTATATTTATACTATGTTACACTATGGAGGTAGTATTATAGTTATACTATGTTACACTGTGGAGGTAGTAGTATATTTATACTATGTTACACTGTGGAGGTAGTATTATATTTATACTATGTTACACTATGGAGGTAGTATTATAGTTATACTATGTTACACTGTGGAGGTAGTAGTATATTTATACTATGTTACACTATGGAGGTAGTATTATATTTATACTATGTTACACTATGGAGGTAGTATTATATTTATACTATGTTACACTATGGAGGTAGCATTATATTTATACTATGTTACACTATGGAGGTAGTATTATATTTATACTATGTTACACTATGGAGGTAGTATTATATTTATACTATGTTGCACTGTGGATGTAGTATTATATTTATACTTTGTTAAACTATGGAGGTAGTATTATATTTATACTATGTTACACTATGGAGGTAGTATTATAGTTATACTATGTTACACTGTGGAGGTAGTATTATATTTATACTATGTTACACTGTGGAGGTAGTATTATATTTATACTATGTTACACTATGGAGGTAGTATTATAGTTATACTATGTTACACTGTGGAGGTAGTAGTATATTTATACTATGTTACACTATGGAGGTAGTATTATATTTATACTATGTTACACTATGGAGGTAGTATTATATTTATACTATGTTACACTATGGAGGTAGCATTATATTTATACTATGTTACACTATGGAGGTAGTATTATATTTATACTATGTTACACTATGGAGGTAGTATTATATTTATACTATGTTGCACTGTGGATGTAGTATTATATTTATACTTTGTTAAACTATGGAGGTAGTATTATATTTATACTATGTTACACTATGGAGGTAGTATTATATTTATACTATGTTACACTATGGAGGTAGTATATTTATACTATGTTACACTATGGAGCTAATTCTACATTTATACTATGTTACACTATGGAGCTAATTCTACATTTATACTATGTTACACTATGGAGCTAATTCTACATTTATACTATGTTACACTATGGAGCTAATTCTACATTTATACTATGTTACACTATGGAGCTAATTCTACATTTATACTATGTTACACTATGGAGCTAATTCTACATTTATACTATGTTACACTATGGAGCTAATTCTACATTTATACTATGTTACACTATGGAGCTAATTCTACATTTATACTATGTTACACTATGGAGCTAATTCTACATTTATACTATGTTACACTATGGAGCTAATTCTACATTTATACTATGTTACACTATGGAGCTAATTCTACATTTATACTATGTTACACTATGGAGCTAATTCTACATTTATACCATGTTACACAATGTCCAGCTACCTTAGCTGTGTGATTGCCAGATAATGGCTGCTTTAGGCCTGTTGCAGCAAGCCAGGCCTTGCTAGAATCCCTGACACGTTAAGGGTTAATGGGTTATGCCTAGGTGTTATAAAACATAAAACAACAATGCGTCAAAATTTAGTTTAGCCTATTTTTCAAATCATTTGCAGATAATGTGTCCATTTAAAACATGTTTCCTTTTCTTAATTTCTGTAATTTTATTGTGTGTGTGTGTATGTGTGTGTGTGTGTGTGTGTGTCTGTATGTGTGTGTGTGTGTGTGTGTGTGTGTGTGTAGGTAGGTGGGTGGAGGTGACCCACGTTTGACATATATATATAAAGTAAAAAAGTACGAATAAGATCTATGAAAAAAAAGTGTTGTTACAATGTCTAGATACATATAGTTTGTTAAAAGGCCATTAATAAAGTTATTAGTGTAATTAATAGATAATATTCACCTTGATTCTGTATATATTTTCTGCGTTATTTGGGGATATTTTGGCTATCTATAGATCTGCCACAGTGAGTAAACAGTTAAACCCCATCTTCAGTTAGAAATACACAGACTTATTCACTATAGTGAGAATTCATCGTGTATTCCATGTGAACATTCTCTAAATCACTTATACTTTGCTTGGATACTTTGGCCTAACTTTGAAATTCACTTTGAATTCTCAGTTTGTTTAGTGAATTAACATGTCAGGGTTTGTGGTAGAAATATTCTATTAAAAACAGATAAACAGAGAAAAATAGAAACACAAACAATGCATTTGATATTTGTATTAGGATGTAAATGGCACATTAACCAGTTACTCGTGGTGTGTTGATGCTAGTGGTAATTAAACAGTTAAAATGACGTGTTCCATTTGCTATGATGGCTTGATCAGTTAACTATAAAGGTTATAGTGGTCAATAATCAGTTAAACGTGTTAGATTTAATAAAAACTTATTATTTGAGTATAAATATTTATCATCTCTCGGTTAAAAATAACTCCTCTGATGTTATTAATTAATTGTATTATTAAATACAATATATAGAATCTTGTTAAATGTAATATATTGGTAAAATGTAAAGTGTACGATTTGCTAGATGCATAGGTAGAGATTATTCATTTGGCACGTTAACGGTTAAACATGAAGTTTTAGGGGGAAAGTATTATTTGTCAAGTAAATATAAAGGATGGGGGCTGCCCATTAATCAATTAAATTTTTAATGTTATTTTTGATGGGTTTGTCAGTTAAAATTGAAGGATCCAAGTGCTACTTTAATGACATAAGGAGGATTCAAACATAACTTATAATTTAAATATAAAGGATTCGGTTGGAATGTTAATCAGAGGGCTCTGAAGTGGTTGTTGCTTTTTTGCTTGTTTTGTTTTAAGTGATACATGTATCAAAGTATTATAAAATATTGAGTACTGGGACTTTATCAGTGGGTTTTATCCTCTAATCGTTTTCTTTAGGTCCAAGATCTCGTAAGCCAAAGAAGAAAGCCACAGTAACGAAGGAGGATAAGAGGCCCAGAACTGCATTCACCGCTGAACAGTTACAAAGGTTAAAGGCAGAATTTCAAACTAACAGGTACCTGACAGAGCAAAGGAGACAGAGTTTGGCCCAGGAACTGAGTCTCAACGAATCTCAGATTAAAATTTGGTTTCAGAACAAACGAGCAAAAATTAAGAAAGCTACAGGAAGCAAAAACTCCCTGGCATTGCATCTAATGGCACAAGGACTTTACAACCACTCGACCACTTCAAAAGACAGCAAATCAGACAGTGAATGAAAGTGGGGACAGTGATGGCGAGCAAAGTCTTACAATGCAATAATTTAAAAAAAAAGAAAGAAAAAGGAAAAAAAGAAAAATTAAAAAAACAAGAAAGGACAACGTAAAAAAAAACAAACAAACTCTAATGGCCAGTGTATAAAGAATTATACCAGCATCTTGCTTCAAAGTGTGTATTGGGATAAATCCGCAATATTCTATTGTAAATATTATTTACAGGCAAACAAAAAATTCCAAAATATTCTCTTTTAAACTATTTTCAGTTTTAATTTTTTTTTGTTTGTTTGTTTGATGATAAATATATATATTATTTTTGGTTTAGATTGCTTTCTTTACAAATTATTTTCTGCTTAAATTTTTTTGCTACGTGATGGTAATGGGTGTTGGACGTTGAGAAAACAAAAATAAAATAAATAACATTTAAAAAAAGGGAGAAACGTTTTAAAAATGAACACAAATTCGCTAAAGTCCAAAGATTTTTTGCTGCACTTCGCACTACTGTGAATTTAATAAATAGCTAATATTTCTTCTATGTTTCTTTTATAAATATATATATTTTATTTTTATTTTTTTGTTTTTTTTTTTAAATGAAAGCAGGACGAGGCTATATTGATGTTTGCATTGCATTCAATCATGCACGTTAACCACTTCTGTGCTACGCTCTGGTACACATATGGTTAATTTTTTTCTTCTTTTTTTTAATTAAATAATATTTTATAGTTCTGTAAAGTGTTGCATTTATATGGTTTATTTATATGGGGGGGGGTGATAGAATTTTGCACTTAGCATTGTTGTTGTTGTTTTTTTTTTCAGTTTTTTTTTCTTTTTCCGGAAATGTTCTCAGCACCAGAACCAAGGGGAGGTGGGAAGGGCATTATACACAATTTGGATAGTTTAGGGATCTATTCACCAAACAGTGACTTATCCTGAGCTGACAAATATCTCAGCTGAGCTATATATATATATATATATGTTATTTTTTATTTTAATTATTTTTTTTTACTGGAGAATGTTTGCCAACCCACCACAACTCAGCATTTAGTGAATTGGGTAATCAATGTCTAATTGTTTCTCTGCAAACCCAAGTATAATTTGTATAATTTGCAAGATTGGTTTTAAGGAAAGCAGAGTAGTGCCTAAGTGACCATAGGGAGAATACGACCATTTTATTCGCTTTGTAAAAGTACAGGATATAGTTTCTGGTTGCCTTGTGGCTGATATTAATCCTCTATTGCGTGCTAAAGATTTAATACAAAATAACACCACCTTTTGGGTTGCCTGAGATTTGCAGAGCATCATTCGTTATGTAGATCTTCAACTCCAAAAGCAATCTGTTCTGTTTCAAAAAAATGGTATAAATGGGAGAATATGTGGGTTTATGAAGAGGGCTACTTCCTCCTATCTCACTCCTTGTCCCCTGTTTTTGTCTAACACCCACATTGGTGACATGTAACAGCCAATCAGTGAGTTTCATTGCTGACTTGCCCTCCTGCCATCCAATCTCTAGGCACTCCTCTCTCACCAAAGCAATCCAAATTTAAAGAGACCCAGCCAGTTCCCAAAATATCCTTCTCTGGTACTCTGACTCCAAACATTATTCATCATTATTTAATTTTAAAAATGAACAAAAGATAAATTAAATCAAAATACTGAAAAAACAAAACTACAGAAATACAACAAACTGGTAACAAATTAAAAATCATAACAAACTGCATCAAAAGTGAATATAATTTTTGCCCTTAAAGTTTACAGTTTTTAGGGAGGGGATAGTTTTGTACACACACACACACACACACACACACACACACACACACACACACACACGTCAATCACACATGCTTGCACTCTGCAGGTACACAGGTCTTTACTTAAATCTAAATATTGTCCCATCATTATTTAAACAAGTATATACCGTATACAGTTAATATGTGAAAGGAGCAGGGGGTTACTTTACAGAGAAATTTCAACTTATTGAAAAGTTTACTCCTTGTTTATATATACACATAACACATACACACACACCGCTTTCCAATCAAAGTCAGAGAAGCAATGATGAACAAAAATAATACAATATACATAATAAATAAATAAACCAGTTTATCTCACTTTCCCTGGCAAAGAATAAGTTAATGTCTCAAAGGAGTAGGCTTATATTTTGCTAAAAGAGGTAACCTGGTGAGTTAAAGAACAATCTTGCTAAACTGACATTTTACCTGCTACAGATCTTATAATTAGGCATATACAATCCCTGCTATCTGGTGCCCAATTAAAGCTACATTCAGATTATATATATATATAATATAGAATCGCGTAACAATTTATTCTTTTCAATCAGATAATAAAAAACAACAAAGTGTAAATATAACATGTTGCCATTTGTGTTTGACCTTCACCAATAATTTTTTTTTTTAATGTGCTACAGTGTAAATAAAATAATTCTTTCTTTGATTAAACTTTTTTTCTCCATCAGTTTTGTTAATTGTTTTTTTGGTTTAGTTCCTTTATGTATTTTTTTTGTTTGTTTTGTTTTGTTTTTGCAGTCAATTCTAAATGTTCATATATTGAATAATTCACAAATCGATGTTTTAACTAAACGATAATTCAGGACTATGGTCATCCATAAAGGATGGGTTTGTTGGTTTGCCTTAAAATATCATTTCTATTAGCTGTCCATCCGCACTGCATATTGCTGTATACTTTAAGAACAAGGTTAAAAAAAAGAGGATGCTTTTTCTACTAGTTTGGCACAAGGTGCCCCCCGTCGTTTATTTTGCAAAAAAATAAAAAAAAAATAAGATTGTATGAGCGTTACTTGTCCATAATTCACAGAGCTACTATTACCTTCCCACACTATAGATGTCCTTGCTTACTGATATGGCCTGATCTTTGTAAAGATTTAACTACATTGTGTGTTTTAATTCTCCAAAAATACATAAAATAAAACATTTTATTACGTCCATAAATGTGTATTTTTTTCCCTCGCATAATTTTATACAGCACTCAGATCTGTTTAATTACCAAAAAACAAAACAAAAAAAAAAACAACTTAAAAGCTTGGGATGTACCTTGAATATTTCAACAAAACCCAGATGCATCAAAATAGTCACAATATTGTCCTCAGTCTTTGTAACAATGTTGCCACTTCACAATCTGATCTTGAACAGAATTCTGAATTTATGTGAAAGAACAGCAAGCTGGAATATTTGGCATAGATTTGAGAACGTGGGGGGATGTTATTAACAAGTTATATTAAGAATAAAGCCAACAGAGGATGGACCCAGCAGGTTAACCTAAAATCTACCAATCGTGTACAGGGACACAGCTCATTGTGGATGTGTACCCTTCAAGCACAGAATGGGTTAATTAAGCACGCAGGGACAGCACTTCACTAGGTAATTAAAACATAAAGTTGACAAAGCAGATGACCCGGTATAACTCAATGAGGCATAATCAATAGAAAGTTCACACAGTTTATTTGCAATACATGAAGCTGTTACATTGCTGCTCTGTGAAAATATTCATATTTAAATACCTGTGTGCACCAATCCAGTCTACAGAATGCAGCAAATTGGGACATCTAGCAATGTCATACACATTGGATATAAAATGTAAAAATCATCATTTAAAGGAGAGGGGGGCATGTGACTAGTTTGGGTGAGACATGCAAAATGTTTTTAAATCAAACTAATTGCTGTTGTGGTGCAAATTCTGAAAGTTGTTTCTCAACTCACTGTTAGTGAATAGCTCCTTAAAACACATATGCCGTTTCTTATCCCCCATCCCCCCCCTCTTTTGCTCCCATTCTTCTCAATCCCAGCAATGTTTGCAAATTAAAATTACTTCGTTTCCACCTCATTCTTACATTATGGAAATAAAAAAAAGCATAAATTAATAAATGTTACCAGTATTTTTATGTTTTAGTGACAAAACAGTCATTTGAAAAGAATCAAATATTACAGATAAATATGAAGATCATGCATTGTGTAAACAGATTTTTTTAGTCTTATGCATTAAAGGAGGTAAAAAATAATGTTCGCTTGGAAAAATCTATCACTGAGACACTTTTTTGGGGAGGTTTTAAAAAAAAAAAATTCAGTCTCGAGGTCACAATTTCAGACTGGATTTCCAGATAAACAAAATTATTGCTCTTTTCTAATTATTACAAATAATTCTTGGTTCTTTTCCAACACATGGCGAATGTTTTCCATAACAATATCATTTTAAATCTTAAAATGTAAAGATTATTTGTTTATTCATACTTCAAGTGTTTTATTTATGGATTCAACATATAATAAAATTGTTTAATCTATGGCCATTTATGTGTAAAAATACAGGGCAGGATTTGCAAATAATATATACAGTGCAAATAATATATACATATAATGATAAAAACATTTATAATAAGTCAAACTACAAACTACATAACAAGAGGGAACTCATCTTTCTTAGAAATATTAAATCCTATTTTGAAGCTGATTTACTATACGTTCCAAACAAATACAATTCTCGTGTATAGTAGGTTTTAAACATACCCAGGGTACCTTGTGTGGGAAGGGGGGATGTATAAAATTTATATCTGAAGCTCCATGAAAATATCCCAGTGAGAAAGGCCTTTGGTAACAAAAGAATTCGATTTTTTGTTCCCACCACATTTGAACACAAGGAAAAAAAAAACATGAGTCGCCTATCTCCCATTCTCTCTCAAACACACAGGAATATGGGCACAGGACAGAGCCTGGCTATACTTTATTCCATAAAGAATTACAAATAAAAGTGTGATGCTTTACTGGGGGTACTGAATATAGCACACAGCATAAAAAGTGTGTGTGTGTCTTTAAATTGTTCTGTGCCTTTGAGATGTGGGTGAGAGTTTGATTGGAAGCCATGCTGAGTCCTGATTTGTAGTTTATGTGCTTTAAAAGTCAGTGCCACTGCTTTCTCCTTTTTTATCCTCAGTATTCGTCTAGTCTTGCTGCCAAATCCACCCTCTCCCCCTCTCCTTCCCCTTTTCCTAGACACATACACTGAAAAGTGACGTCTAGTTTTTTTGGCAAACTCTCTGCTGTGTGCAGTAAGTTTTACTGAAGCTTTTTACACATATCAAAGTATGAATTATGTTCCCACTATATGTTTGCAGTGATGTCTCAGCCCAATATATTCCAGACGTCCCCCCTGATACTGATAGTGAGAATCATAAGAGATCTGTGTTGTAGAACGTTAAATAAAGGTCACTAGAAACATATAAAATACAGTTGAAATATAAAAAGCAATATTTGCGTTGGGCTCCAATCTGTAGTTTTATAAACTGGTTGAGAGTGCCCAGAAAGTTGCATATACGGTATCGTAAAACTAAACTAAATATTAATTATAAGAATCACTGTGCCTTTAAGAGTCAGATTCGAATGTGACACATTTCAGAACCCGTTGCCTAGCACTCAAACAGTTACATTAGTGTTGGGGTTGGTGTAATATTTCTCCATTAACAAACAATGTATCATTTGTGTAAAAGGGGAAACTTGCATAGTCTGATTAATAAGAGGCTTATCATTCTTGTGTTATTGTTTTGTTTTACTTTTCTGATTATGATAAACAGTGAAACATAAACAAACAATATTAAAATGTAATAATTATAACACAGCCAACTCTGGGATATATTGTATTTAGAACTGAATTCTGAGTAATGGATGGTCAATCCACCAACACTACTCAACCTTTTGTGAATAGACCCAGAGGAAGCTATTGGGAGCCTTCCAAATGTCTTGTAGCTAGCTTCTAGGTAGGATTTTATACACTTTGGGCAGGACCCTGTACAATATATATATAGGCCAGTCCCTATAGGTTATATATTTATATCTGTAATTTATCATACACAGACTCTCTCTCTCTCTATAAATAGGTCCCTGCATAATATATATATATATAGGCCAGTCCCTATAGGTTATATATTTATATCTATATTCTATCATACACAGACTCTCTCTCTCTATAGACAGGTCCCTGCATAATAAATAAATAGGCCAGTCCTTATAGGTTATATATCTATATCAATAATATATCATACACAGACTCTCTCTCTCTATAGACAACTCCCTGTATAATATATATATAGGCCAGTCCCTATAGGTTATATATCTATATCAATAATATATCATACACAGACTCTCTCTCTCTATAGACAACTCCCTGTATAATATATATATATAGGCCAGTCCCTATAGGTTATATATTTATATCTATAATCTATTATACACAGACTCTCTCTCTATAGACAGGTCCCTCCATAACATATATATAGGCCAGTCCCTATAATTTATATAACTAGAAAAGCTACAATTTCTGGGGAAATTGTGTGAAGTGTTCTTGCCTCCACCAGTAGTCTACAACTGGAGTGGGCGGAGTAACTGTTATCATTTATATAGCACATTTAATTGCAACGTTGTTGCACAGTTACATTAAACCATACATTTATAAAAACATTAGCAGGTGTTCAAAAGGCCCTGTCTATGACTGGCACAGGTCAGAGTATTTTGGCGGTTGCCATCTTCAAACGGTCGTATTTTAAAAACTATAAACCCTACAGCGAAGAGCTTTATATTGTGAGAATCACAAGACCCAGACCTACATTTTGATGCATAGTATGTCTCTGTAGTATTAAAAATGAAGGCACAGTCGCAGTTTAGAAATTGCATTTCAAATTTGAGCTTTGTAGAGTGAAGTTTGCCAGCTCCCACTCTAGCTTTGTCATTCATTCCTATGGGACAAATTGCGCCACAAGAACGACGATATTCCATGAACCATTCGGCGAAACGTTCCACAAAGTAATAGCAATCCGATCGGGAACAATCTGCACGTTTTGGTAAATTTTTGTCTATGTAGTGTAAAAACTGTGGGAGGAGTTAGGGTGGCAAATTTGGCTATAATGAGAATAAGAATAAGAATATATATGTGAGATAACATTAAGTGGTCTTGCTATGCAAGAACACTTAATTAAGTGTTCTTGCATAGCAAGACCACTTAATGTTATCTCACATATATATTATTATTATTAAGTG